AGCAACCCCTCCTTTGGTTTCCAAGGTGGTATCACTATGGAAGTAGATTGCCCAACCTTCCTTCCAAGGAGTGACTGGTGGGTTTGAACCACCAGCCTTCTGGTTAGCAATCAAGTACCTTAGCTCCTTGCTCTTGAATGGAGAGCAGCTAAAGTGAATGGAAGAAATGACAAATTAAAAGACCTGAACAAACGATTTCAAAGGAAAGATCCAAAAGACAAATTATCATAATGAAATGTGAAAACACCTGGAGTTAAAAAAATCAAAATGGAAGAACATGCTGGGCATTTCTCAAGCTAAAGGCACCAAAGAAAAATTTAAGCTTCAAGATTTAATACTGATATGAGCCCTAGCTGCCCTTCAGGTCTGGAACTGAACCCACTCCTGTGGCTTCCAGCCAAACAAAAGACAGGCATATGAATGGAACATTTACATTAGGTAGATATTCCTTGGGGAGATCAATCATGGGAGAATAGAAGGGCTGTGCATGCACAGGGAGACAGCTCAGGGGGCAAGAGCACATGGGAGGGAAGGACACAGGGAAGAGGTAACTATGGGGAGGAAGTGAGAGGAGAGCTGTTGCATTGTGGAGAATTGCAGTCAAAGTCATGAGAGAAAGTATATGTGAGCTGCTGTATGGAAAGTGAGTTTGCTCTGTAAACTTTCAACCAAATCAAAATAAAAATTAAGAAAAAAGAATGATTCGATAATGACGGCTTCTACAAATAAAATATTGAACAATGCAGGACACATCAAAAGAAGACGGGAGGAATACCCAGTCACTGTACCAAAGAGAATTGGTAAATGTTCATCCATTTCAGGAGGTGGCATACGATCAAGAACCAATGTTATTGAAGGAAGAAGTCGAAGTTGCACTGAAGGAATTGGCAAAGAACAAGCCTCCAGGAATTGACAGAATACCCAATGAGATGTTTCAACAAATGGTTGCAGCACTGGAGGCTCTCACTTATTAATGTCAAGAAATCTGGAAGGAAGCCACCTGGCCAACTGACCAGAAGATACCCATATTTGTGCCCATTCCAAATAAAGGTGATTGACAGAATGCAGAAATTATCAAATAATATCATACACAAGTAACGATATCATACACAAAAATGGCTGCAGCAGTACATCGACAGTAACATGCCAGAATTTCAAGCAGGATTGAAAGGGTGCGGAATGAGAGATATCACTGCTGATGTCAGATGGATCCTGCCTGAAGGCACAGAGGACAAGATGTTTACCTGTGTTCTACTGACTATGTAAAAGCATTCAACTATATGAATCATAACAAATTATGGATAACTGCAGTGTAGTAAACTACTTAGTGTGGCTTTTCTACCCATAAATCTTTGTAAACTCCAAGGTGGGATTTTCTATGAGCAACTGAGGAGCTCCTGATTGCTGAAGTTGTCCACCTGGAGTATTTCTGTTGGGAGTGGCACAAAACAATGTTCTGGGAGGTGCCCACTCTCTCTCAGGTGCTTAGAGTTGATGCTATGATTGGCTAGTTTGGCCACTGCCAAGCTCAAAAGCAGGCCTCCTGGAAGCAGAACTCGCTCTGACTGCTGGTTGAGGAAGATGTTCTGCCAGAAGAGACACGTGCCCCTGAAACAGACACGTGCTGCTGAAAGAGATGCAAGAGACACTCATTGCTGAGTAAGATACCGAGGCACCAGCACTGTTGGGCAAGAGACTGTGAGAGACTGTTGGCTGAGGGACGGTGGGCTGGAAGAGAGACTGAGCATTTTTCCTGAACTCAAATTGTAGCCTGTGGTGCTTCCCTAATAAACCTCATAATCTGTGAGCTCTGTGTGGCCACTGCAGTGAATTATCGAACCCAGGAGAGAGGTGGTGGGTGCTCTGGGAGGAACGGTTGGAGAAAGGGCTGGAGGGAGGCAGCATGACTGGCCTGGCAGGAATAGGCCTTGGGTTACTGCTGGTAATCCTGCCTTCCTCTTGTGGGATTAGAGGAGGTCAGAACATGGGGCCTCCTTGCTGTTTTAGCAATAACAATGGGAATTCTGGAATACTTATGTGCTCATAAGGAACCTCTATGTAGACCAAGAGGCAGTCATTCAAACAGAACAAGGCAATGCAGAATGGTTTGAAATCAAGAAACATGTGTTTCAGGGTTGCATTCTTTCATTATACTTATTCAATATGTATGCTAAGCAAATAATCTAAGAAGCCGGACTATATGATGAAGAACACAGCACTAGGGTTGGAGGAAGACTCATTACCAACCTGCAATATGCAGATGACACAACCTTGCTTGCTGGAAGTGAAGATGACTTAAAGCACTTACTGATGAAGATCAAAGATTACAGTCTTCAATATGGATTACACTTCAACATAAAGAAAAATAAAATACTCCTAAGTGGACCAATAAGCAACCTCATGACAAATGGAGAAAAGACAAAAGCTGTCAGGGATTTCATTGTACTTGGATCCACAATCAATGTCCATGGAAGCAGCAGCCAAGAAATCAGATAACATATTGCACTGGACAAATATGCTGCCAAAGTGTTAAACAGCAAAGATGTCACTTTGAAGACCAAGGTACACGTGACCCAAGCCAATGCCTTGTCAGTAGCTTCATATATATGTGAAAGCTAGGCAATGAAAAAGCTGAGATGGAAGCAGAATTCATGCATCTGAATTGTGGGGTTGGTGAAAAATACGGAATATACCACAGACTACCAGAAGAACAAACAAATCTGTCTTGGAAGAAGTACAGCTAGAATGCTTCTTAGAAGCAAGAATGGCCAAACTTCATCCCTCATTCTTTGTTCATATTATCAGGTGCAAACAGTCCCTGGAGAAGGGTATCTTGCTCAGTAAAGTATTAGTTGATAGCACTTATGTGCCATCAAGTCGGACTCGACTCATAGCGACCCCTTGGGTTTCCGGGGCAGTATCACTACGGCAGTAGATTGCCCAACCTCCCACCTCCCTTCCGAGGAGTGGCTGGTGGGTTTGAACTGCCAGCCTTCTGGTTAAGTAGAGGGTTAGCAAAAAAGGGGAACTGACACAGTAGCTATGACTATAGGCTCACACATGGCAATGACTTTGAGGATGGTACAGGACCGAGCAGTGTTTTGTTGTGTTGTTCGCAGGGTCGCTATGAGTCAGAACCTACTCAATGGCACCTAACAACAAAAACAGCAACACTTTGCCCAAAGACCTAATGTAACCATATAAAACTTTTAAGAGTCTAAATGATTTTTGAGAGAAATAGTGCAGTGATAACATTTATCATTAATTCCTTAGATCATTCAAATTCCAAAGACACTAATTTATAGCTTTCAACTGAACTGAACTTCAATTTAACATTTTATCCTGTACATGAAAGATCAACATAAAGAATATAAATAGCTCATCTCTTGCAGAAATGCAATGAGTAATATTTTATTATGCTCTACAATGCCCCTTACATAATATCCCCAAATAATCTGTGCCTATTCTACCATATTTTTAAACAAATAATGTACATGTTATAGTTTCTGCAAACCACACGATCCCTCATGTTAGTTTTCTTTGCATACTATACACATTGTATGCATGAATGTGCTATTATGTAGTCAAGTTATATGTGAAAACAAGGTAGTTCTGTAAACAATTTTATCTTCCCTAACATTTCCTTTTATCAATGTAATAAACATCATGGAAGTGGGAAGTGAAACAAAAGGCCCATGGTTAGGCAAAGATCTCACTATGAAGTGGGAATGCATTATGGGAACATAGCAGTATCATTCATATGCACTCCAATCAACAAAACTTACAAAGTTTCTCAGCAAACGTAACAATAAAACAAAAAAGGTTCATCCTCTCACACACTAAAACTAACATTAAAAGGACTAATATCACTGTTATTGTTCATAGTGTCACTGTTTGTCCCCAAAGTTAAGGTGGCAACAAATCAGATAATGATAACCATGAAACAGCATGTTTCCCTTTGTGCCTTCAAGGAAATTCAGAAATATATTTTGTGTTCAAAAACTACCCTTAACTAAAGTATTCTGGTACTCTTATCTTCTTTCTTCATTTTATCTTTTATGCTTTATATCTTTTATCCTAGCTCAAGTGCCTTTATTGGTACTTTCTCAAATCCATTTCCGAAATGAGTAAGGTATAAATAATAGAATATACTAGATCGTACCCATATTAAAAATAAGAAATGTATGACTTTACAAGCAAAAAAGAGGGATAAAAGTTAACAAAATCTTAATAGTGAAACAGGAGTGACTGAGACCAAAAGCAAAGGTAAGAAAATAAAAGAAATAATCGGACTCTGGTCACTTTCCAACCAATAAATGTGATTGGTTTACTTTACCTTAATTTCTATCCTTGCTCTGTGAGGAAAAAGTTGTCCAATCATAGAAAAGTCAGTTCCCACCATGCTGATAGCTAAAAAGAACATATCTGTTTCTGTAAAATAAAAGTTTTAGAATGACTGAAAATTAATCTTATTATTTCAGAGGGAAAAAAATCTTGCGTAAGTATACACTGAGTTAAAAAGAATGTTGACAGTACTTGACCGTTTTTCATTAAAATCCAGTAAATCTTTAGTCACAGATTTCCATTCCACTGCATAGAACTTCATGAAGTATCTAAAGACGTTTTCTTTACACTTTTTAAGAATGTTAAATATAACAAATTTACATGGTCATACAAAACCCACTGCCATCAATGTCAATCCCGACTCATAGCGACCCTATAGGACAGAAAAAAACTACACCATAGGGTTTCCAAGGACGTAAATCTTTACAGAAGCAAACTGTCTCATCTTTCTCCTGTGGAGCAGCTGGTAGGTTCAAACCATTGACCTTTTGGTTACCAGCTGAATGCTTGAACCACTGTGCCATCAGAGCTCCTTGCTCATACCAAAGCAGCTGGAATTATTTAATTTAAAAAAAAAAAAAAAAGAAGAAGCACTTTGCCTATATGGTGTCATTCAAAGACCTAAAGAAAATGGTCAGTTATAATCAATAAAATATAACATTATGGAATTAATTAGGATGTGCCAAGTAGTATGTGAAAGAAAACAGTCAGAAAGACACACAAGTTACTTCAGGAGAAGTCAGAGAAAACAGGTATAGAATCTTTCTTTTCATTCTGTATGCTTCTGTCATGTTTGAAAATTTTCCCTAAACAAACTATATTATTTTTATAACAAAAAGGAAACAATAATTACCCACAGCCAGCTACCTAGAGGACACGAGTAGTTGGACCTGTGGGCTCAGGACCATGGTCGCAGGGGACAGTAAGCTCAAGTGGCATAATATACTACATAAAAACACTTTTCCACATCCTACGTTGGCAAGTAGCGACTGGGATCTTAAAAGCTTACAAGCAGCCATCTACATGCAACGATAGGTCTCTCCTCATCTAGAACAAAGAAGAATGAAGAAAAACCAAAGACACAGAGAAACAATTAGTCCAAGGGTACACCATGCAGTCCTCAGCCTATATGACCATGATACCAGAAGAAGTAGATGGTGCCTGGCTACCACTGTCAACCACTAGGAGGAGGATCTATGTGGGAGATCCTGGACAGAGTGGGAAAACAATGTGGAACAAAACTCAAAATCATAAAAAAAAGGAACCAGGTTTATTGGTCTAATAAAGCCTGGTAGAACCCCTGATGACTATGGCCCCTAGCTGCCCTTCAGATCTGGAACTGAACCCACTCCTGTGGCTGCCAGACAAACAAAAGTCAGGCATATGAGCTAAACATTTACACTAGGTAGATACATTAGGTAGATATACTCCTTGGAGAGAGAAATCATGGGAGAATAGGAGGGCTGTGTATGCACAGAGAGAAAGTTCACAGAGCAGGAGTGGATGGGAGGGAAGGACACAGGGAAGAGGTGGCTATAGGGAGGAAGTGGGAAGAGAGCTGTTGTATTGTGGGAAATTACAGTCAGTCATGAGACAAAAGTGTATGTGAACTGCTGTATGGAAAATGAATGTGCTCTGTAAACCTTCACCCAAATCACAATAAAAAAAAATTTTTAAAAAAATGAAAATTAGTTACCTTTATTTGACCATGGTTTAGAGTAATAGTTCTTCCTGAAGCTGGAATATGTAGTTGTAGAACCACGCTCAAATATGGGGTCATTTTCCTCAACAACACAGGGACCTTTTGTTCTTAAAACTTCTACAGTTAAACTAAAAGAAACATATTTTCAAATAGATGAACAATTACAACAAGTAAGGAAAAAAAATATAGTACATGAGATTTAATCAGTTATATTTTGAAATTCACCGTGGAAGTCATATCAAAAGTATGTATTTTTTTCCAAGCATCTGCTAATTTTCACTTAAAATATGATTCCCAGGTGATAAAAATAAATGGCATCTTGTTTTCAAAATCTCTCACAGTAATATGGGACCTCTGGTGGTGCAGTGACTGCTAACCAGAAGGCTGTCGGTTCAAATTCACCAGCCACTCCTCAAAAGGAAGGTTGGGCAGTCGACTTCCGTAGTGATACCGCCTCGGAAACCCAAGAAGGGATCGCTCTGAGTCAGATCTGACTCGATGCCAGTGAAGGGGAACAGTAATATAAAATATTTTTCGACCACCTAAAAAACTAATTATTATATTGACTTTTCCAAGCTTTCTATATTCAATATATATTTTCACACTATGCCCAACAGGGGATATTAAGAAATATAATCACTTTATATTCATGTTTTACATTCCTGTAGTCAAAGCAGTTAAATATGCTTTTAACTATTTAAAGATCAGTAAAATCATCATAAAATGGGTAACAGCATTCAAAAACAATTATCAGCAGTATTATATTTATGTTTTTTACAGGATTTAAATGTTATAAAATTGTTTCTCACTAAGCAGTCAAAATACTTTCCATCCCTCTTTTCCGTCTGTCTGTCTATCTATCATTCTTCTTTTTAAAAAAAAATATACTTGGAAAGACACCTGATTTCTATAATGCCTAACTTGAGGAATTTAATATAACTGAGAAAATAAACCAGAAGGTGAGTTAAATCTTACCATAGCAAAAATCATAAAATACGTTTCATTATATATGCATTAGATGTCACCACTTACCAGAAAATGACATTAGTTAATAATTACGAAAATCTGAATATTGACTTCAATACTATGAGTTAATCCTAGAAACCTATCCTCAGTGTAGAATAGCATGTGATTATTTAGCAGCTCAATCCAATTACCAGTAAAGTCAGGAAAACAATAGTGTTAGGTTAATGGATGATAGGTCAGCAGTACCATCTTCTCAAACAAAATAGAGCATTACAAAAATTGTTAAAATTGTAAACAAATCTAACCTTTTCTATTTACAACTTCTATTATGCAAACATAAACATCAGGGCTTAAGTGAAAAGGACAGATACAAAAACCTGATCTCTCTCATGAAACAAAGCACATTTGTTCTGGTGAAACCCAGTGTTTTTCCCTCTCTTTTTTAGTTACCTTTCCTCATCCAAAATAATAGAACCATCTTCTGCCACTTTTACTCGAGGAACCAGCAATGGTCCGTCATCAGACTCTTCTTCAATTTCTTCATTTTCTTCAGCATCAGGAGTAGTCTTACTTTCCAGCCTACCAAACGTTAACAACAGATTAATTCATATAACCATGGGAAGTGTTTTCTAAACAGTATGAACTTCTAAAATAAAGTGTTACAGATTCAACTTTCTAGTTATTTCTAATTTTCTCTCTATAATAATTCATTGAAAATACTATGTGTTATTGAATGCATGTTAAAAGATTTCCTCAAATTGTATTCTAGTAGCATTCAGTAAAATAAACGAATGCTCATCGTTTCCATCTGAATCAAACAGCAAAGTAAAGCATCCAGTTATTATTAAAAATAATAATACCTTATTGCTATATAGCATTACTTTCTAGATTTTATTTAGTCCTCAGAAGTAAGTTTAGGTTTAGTATTTCCACATCCATTTGAGGCTTACAAAAGATAACGTTCACTCTAAGTTACATAACAGTAAGATTAGAGCCAGGAGTAAAACAGAGGTTTCCAAATAATGACCCTAAATCTCATACACTTTCCATTCTACTAAACTGCCTCCTTAAGGTTTTATTAAAGTAAATATAATATATGAACCTATCAAACAAACTATTTTTAAAGCTTCAGAGTTTTACTTTAAAACAATGTAGATCCTAAGCAAAACACTAATCACTACTTAATCAGACCTTGAAGTGACAACCAGAAAACCCCTAATGTTTTTGCCAATCTTCTATTATCTCCAACCTTGAGTTACAAGGCTACAGCTTCCTAATAAGCCTTTTAGAGGGATTTTTTGGAAGGTAAGTGGAGCTTATACAACAGACTATATCTAGCGGTATCAAAACTATACCTATTCCAAGACAGTGTATGTATGCATTTATGAGACACAGCGGGAGGAAGGAAGGGAGGGAAAGAGGAAAGAAGGGAGGGAGAGAAGGAGGCAGGCAAACAGGCAGACAGGCAGGCAGACAGGCAGGGAGAAAGAAAAGAAGAAAAAGCGGGAGATAAAAAAAGGAAAAAGATACATATTTGCTTAGATATGAGTAAACTAGACTAGCATGGAATGATACATTAAAAAAAAAACACCTTTGCGGCCTCCAAGGAGGGGAACTAGGTGGCGGAAGAACAAAGTTGGGAGATTTTTCTCAATACACTTTTTTTTCCTTTTAAATTTTGTAACATGTAAATATATTAGCATTCTAAACAAAACAAAAAAAAACTCTTAATTCTAAAAGTTTTAATTCAAAATCATAACATTATTGTTGTTGTTGTGTGCCACCGAGTAGGACCTGACTCATAGCGACCCCTCCTTGTGTTTCTGAGGCAGTATCACTACGGAAGTAGATTGCCCCATCTTCCTCCCAAGGAGTAGCTGGTGGGTTTGAACCACGAGCCTTCTGGTCAGCAGTCAAGTGCTTTAGGCACTACGATTCAAAATCATAACATTAGCCATTCTTACATACAATACACAAAGTGTGGAGTTTTCATATTGATTTAAATCTTACCAATGATTGTAGTTTCTAAAAACGCTATCAAATACAATTTGATTATAACAGAAAGAACTATTTGACTTCATTTCTTTTTTAAGAAAAAACTATCCCCATAACAAAACGTATTTTTAAAAGCATGAGATGCTTACTCTCTTGTCTGGACTGGTGTCGATGATTTTTCAGTTTTCTTTTCTTGTTCCAGTGAAGAGCTATTAAACACAAGTAACAGAATACTTTAAAATAAATTATTTGCTTGCACCTTGTCAATTCTATCAGGAGATGAGATGGAAATTATTTTCATTTCCCTGTTGCTATTTTGTTTTTTTCTTTTATGATATATCTTAACGCTTCTATTAATGGGGTTTGGTCCAGTGATCAATTTTTCAGTCAAAAACTTTTGTTGCCAAATACAAATAATTTTTAAGCCCCTGAGTAGGGAATGCTCTTAACTTCTATTCCTCAGTAAAGGAAATCTTTCAGTCCCAAAGCATGAAGCAACCTAGGTGGCCTGTCTCCAACTCCTATATGTCAAACAATTCAAAACCTAGGTTTCTGCCACCTCCTTCAACTGAGCCAAAGACCTGACAAATCTGAAAAAGGCCTATACTGAAAAGTATGCCACTACTCCTACCTCCACGTACTAACCATCAATAACACAACAATGAGAAGATTAAAGATTATTAACAACCCTCTGTACCCTAGACTAACTTTGCTTAAAGAAGCTTTGTTCTTAGGACAATTGTCAATTAAATTGTTACTCTAAGACACACAGCATAAAAATTAAATCACCCCTTAAGATCAAGTTAGTGCACAGAATAAAACGGCAATCTTGATTAAAGAAAAGGTGCTTGTTGGTCTTATCTGTGGTAATCAACGTAACAAAGAAAATTTATTTTTTAATCTCAGAAAAAAATGGCATTATTTATCACACAAAGAAAGCAGTTACTTGAAGTATCACCAATTTCTGCTATAAATTCTATCTAAAAGGACATAAGCGCCAAAAATTGTTTCAACATGCTTTTGGGTATCTAAAATTGTACTCTAAAAGTGATACTTAAATTACTTCAAGGAGTTCTGATAAGATAATGCCTAAGACCCTTGACTGCTAACCAGAAGGCTGGCAGTTCAAACCCACCAGCCACTCCTCGGAAGGAAGGCTGAGCAATCTACTTCCGTGGTGATACTGCCTCGGAAACCCAAGGAGGTCCGACTCCACGGCACATAACAACAACAACAAAATTACTTCATACCCAAAGTAAAAAATAAATTCTATATTTAGCAATGACATATCTGACAAATGACTTATCTTTAGAATTTACAGAAAACTCCAACACCTCAACAACAAAAACACAAATAATCCAATTAAAAAATGACAAGCCATAAATAGACACTTCATCAAAGAGGATATTCAGGCGGCCAACAAACATATGAAGAAATGCTCACCATCATTAGCCATTAGAGAGACGCAAATCAAAACAACAAGATACCATCTTGCCCCAGCACTAGCAGCAAAGTTCAACAAGACAGAAAATAACAAATAATGGTGAAAACGTAAAGAGACTGGGACTCTCATACACTGCTGGTGTGACTGTCAAATGATGCAACCACTGTGGAAAGCAGTATGGCCATTCCTTAAGAAGTTGAAAATAGACATACCATTTGACCCAGCCATTCCATTACTAGGTATATATCCTAAAGAAGTGAGAGCCAGGACAAGAGCAGATATATGCACACTCATGTTCATCGCAGCACTATTTATAATAGCCAAAAGATGGAAACAACCTAGATATCCATCAGTTGAAGAATGGATAACCAAACTATGGTACATACACACCATGAAATACTATGCAACCCTAAAGAATAACACAGAACCTACAAGACACTACATAACATGGATGAACTTGGAGGACATTATGCTGAATGAAGTAAGTCAATCACAGAAGGACAAATACTGTATTAGTCCGTTATTGTAAAAAGTCAAGAAAAAGTTTATATATGGAAGGAAATTTTCTTTGTTGGTTACCCAGCGTGGGAGGGGTGGGAAAGAATACTGTCAGATGTTGTTGTTGTTGTTGTTTTTGTTAGTTGCCATCAAGTCGTCTCTGACTCATAGCGACCCCATGCACAGCAGAACAGAACAGGTTTATACAGCAATCCTCTTTAAATGAAATTTACTTAATGAAATGTTTAAATGAAATTCATTTTTTACCTATTTGCTATATAAACCTGTTCATATTGATTTGGGAGAGGAGAAGGGCAATGTACTAAATGTGAGTGATCAACACGGTGGCATGAAAAAGATAAAAAATAAATTATACTTACATCATTGGATTGTTATTTGGCAGGTAATATATGAAGTCTCTCATAGTCATTTTTGAACGATCTGGTGGCTTCTGACTTTCATTTATAGCATATTTGTTTTTCCATTGCTTCTATATGCACAAATACACAAAGATTCACTATTATTTTATAAATACATAATTTCAAATGTACCATGTTCAAATATGGAACATCCTGCAAAAGCATCTTTGTCTTAACTCAGAAAATACACCTTATGCCACTTAAACATCCAGGTGAAAAATCACACTGAAGGTTTCTTTTATAAATATGATTTTGTGTCTATCTGTGTATAATACTTGTATCTGTTTCCTTCACCAAAAAGAATGAAATAAATTGATGAGTGAAATGTGTACCAAATAGTACTGGTGGCAAAAAATAGTTTAATATGCTTCTGAGTCATTCTATTAACAAAATTGTTATAAGAGATGTCATTTCATTTTGCTCTCCCATCAAAATGCTAAGATTCAAACTTTCCTCCAAATGATACCTTAACTCACATAAAAACAGAAATCTACCAGGAAACAGTTAAAATTCTGAGTTTTCTCCCTTACCTTCTCTTTTCTCAATTCTTCTTTTAACATTTCTCTCAGCTTCTGTGCTTTATATATTCGGTATCTGTCTGAGCACGGTTGTTTCTCTTTTGTTGGCATAGGGTTTGGTTGTGGAATTTCTTGATTAACAGCAGGTAAGGGATGAGGTTCTGAAGAAACGCTGATGCTAGGTTTATCCAAGCTAGAAGTACTTGATACTCGCTTTCTTCTCTGTGAAACAGCAGCTGAAGGCTTACTGGGTTTTTCAACATTGTTTTTACCATCAGTCTTTTCATCACTGTTGAAATTAAAAAAGAAGAAAAAGGCACCATGAATCTTCTTTACTATATTTCAGTTTTAAAATCTTGTCTGGTGAAGATTCAAAACAGCAGTCTTACTTATTTGAAAATCAATGACTTTAGATTTAAATTTATTGTGACAGAGGTTGCAATAAAAATTGTTTAATAAATATGTAAATTCTAATGAAGCTGCAAATCTTTTTCAAACTTCAAGTCCCTAAGCACATTCAAACATTCACATTTTATGCGTTTCCCTTTAAAAAAGAACAAAAAAAAAACAATGGAACAATGCTTATTTTACCTAATTTGAGTTACTAAATAACTGAGAAGATTTTTAAAATAAAGTTTATAATTCATATTGATATCCCCTAAACTGGTCTAAGTTCTCAGTACTATAGTTTAATTAAACTAAAATGTGGCATGGTGGGTAAGGCATTTAGCTACTAACCAAGAAGGCTGGAAGTTCAAACCCACCAGCTGCTCTGTGGGAGAAAATGAGACAATCTATTTCTATAATTTCTATAAAGATTTATAGCCTTAGAAATCCAGTGGGGGTCACTATGAGTCAGAATCGACTCAATGGCAGTAGGCTTGGTTTTGGTGTTTTTTTTTAATAGTTTATCAATCTAAGATTGAACAAAATATTCAAAAATTTAAAACTCTGAAATATTTGTATTGTAATATTTGAAAGTACACATTTAGCTATATTATACATTAACCAAACCAAATTTTGTTTGAGGCATAAATCATTTTCTTTTGTCAGGCATGATTCTAATCTATTCTCAATTCCTCCAAATTACACATTAGATATGGCACAGACTGGATATAGTATTTCAGGAATGAGCTCAAGGTAAATTAAATCAATAAAAGAAGAGGTGTAAGTCAAGAATTACAAGCAGAGAGTCTACTTTTTCATATGTTAAAATCAGTTGTAAATAAAAGTGGCAAATGTCTAACACAGAATAATTTTTCCAGGAACTATTCTCCAATTTATATTTTTATCTCAATCCTTACAAAATGTGATATATGCACCATCTGCATTTCTCCAATTATGTTGAATGCATATAGGTTTTTGTAACTAAAAATCTCCAAAAAAGGAAACATTTGATCAGAAACAAAATATACTCCTTAAATGTTTCTTATGAAACAATTAAATATCCTCAAGTTTAAGTACCTCAAGACTATAGTCTCTGGGTAATTTATTATCAATTTTCATATATTCATATACAAACAATCCCTGGATTACGAATAAGATCTATTCTTATGAAGAAAACCAAAATTCATGGAAACAATTAATCCTAGCGACTGGTACACCATCTGATCTGCAACCTATACGACTATGAGACCAGAAGAACTAGATGGTGCCCGGCTACCACTGTCATCCACTTGGAAGGGGATCTATGTAGGAGATCCTGGATAGAGTGGGAGAACAATGTGGAACAAAACTCAAAATCATTTGGAGAAAAAAAAAAAAAAGAAGGTGGGGACCAGGTTTGCTGGTCTGATAGAGCCTGGTGGAACCACTGAGACTATGGCCCCTAACTGCCCTTCAGGTCTGGAATTGAACCCACACCTGCAGTTTCCAGCCAAACAAAATACAGGCATATGAGTTGAACATTTACCTCAAGTAGATACACACCTTGGAGAGAACAATCATGGGAGAAAGTAGGGCTGCTTATGCACAGGGAGACAGCTCAGGGGATAGAAGTGTATGGAGGGATGGACACTGGGAAAAGGTAACTATGGGGAGAAAGTGGGAAGGGAGCTGTTGCGTTGTGGTAAACTGTGGTCAATGACATGAGACAAAGTATATGTGAACCGCTGAATGGAAAGTGAATTTGCTCTGTAAATCTTCACCCAAATCACAATTAAAAAAAAAAAAAAAATCTATTCTTAAATCTGTCTCTACATCAAATTTGTATGTAAATCGGAAGTTAGGTACAGGTTAGTATCTAATATCAATTGGTCAAATGTTTGTCTTAGTATACAGTATATAATGTACCTTCTTCTATGCATAAAAAACATTAAACACTTGGCAGATGCACTAAAACATCTTTAATACAATATTGCAATAGTAATAATAATGTTTTGATGCATGTTGCAAAGTAGCATCCATTTGTTACTAGGAAGCACTGTATATTGCTGGCAGGCATCACAGGTGGCAAGGAGTGTGTCAGGCAGCCGCAGCAGCAAAGACCTCATCCCTCTCATGACAAGACTCCCCCACTCCACTGTCCTAGAAGGCTCACATCCACCTTAGGCTGCATGACACAAGGCCAGGGCCCAGGACAGCAACAGTCGGGGCTTGGCGTCAGGTTGGGGTCTGGGGTTGCTGTACAACACACAACTTTGGACAATACCAAAGGAGCACCCAGCCAGGTGGTGCAGGGCGAAGCAAAGTTGTACTTGCAGCCTCCTGCTGGGCCTAGGGCCTACGAGCCCCAGATAGAGCCTGAGTCAGCTCTAGGGCCACAGTAGAAGCACTGCACTGCCACTGCCCACCCTGCATACCACCATCACCTCCCAGTCTCAGCTGGAGGCAGGCACCATGGGGATCTTGGGTCAGGTGGGTGCAGGGAATGCTTGCTGGCACTCCAGGATGATTCAGGGTGAGGCAGGACTCCATCCCTTCCCATGTCTTTGGGTTTGCCTCAAGGGAAAACATACTGGGATTGTATGTTTTCAGGGGTTGGTTTGCAACTACAGTTGTACGTAAGTCAGGTGTTTGTAAACTGGGAACTTAATAATTAACAGGATTTCTGTTAACTTTATTAACTTAACAGTGACTAGTATTTGTACAAGAAGCCCTGGTAGTGCAGTGGCTAACTAGGCTGTCAACCAAAAGGTCATTATTTTGAATCCACTAGCTGCTCTGCAGCAGAAAGATGTGGGTGCCTACTTCCACAAAGATCAGAGCCATGGCATAAATATATCCATGTACAGTAGAGCAACCAGGGGGCAAAGGTATGAAAACGTTTTAGCTATAGCCAAAGACTCTGAGGTAATAAGTCACTGAACTTGGGGGCTTAGGACCATAGTCTCAGGAGACTCAATTGGCCTAACATAGTTTACAAAGACAGTATTGTACATCCTACCGTAGTGAGTAGTGACTAGGGTCTTAAAAGCCAGTGAGTGGCTAACTAAGGTGCAACTGTTTATCTCTGTCCAAAGCAAAGAAGAGTGATGAAAATCAAAGACTCATGGAAACAAATAGTCCAAAAGACTAATGGACCACACAAACCTCAGCCTGAGACCAGAAGTAGAAGACGGTGACGACTACTACTACTACTACTACTACTGACCACTATGAAAAAAGAACTAGATGGTGCCTAGCTACTACTACTGACCACTCTGAAAGAGACAGAAGGTCCTGGATAAAATGGGAGAAAAATGTGGAAAACTCAAAATCATAAAAAACACCCAGCTTACTGGTCTGATGGAGACTAATGGAATTCCTAGGACTGTGGCCCTTAGTCACTCTTCAATTCTGGAACTGACTCACCCCTGTGGTTCAACTTTCAGTTGAGCAACAGACAGGCCTATAAGGTGAACAGTAACATTAGAGGGGCACACACAGCTTAGAACAATCAGCTATGTGACATCAAAAACAGCTTTTGCCCAGATATAAAGCTCAGAAGGCAGAAAGAGATAGGAAAGAAGGACAAAGGGAAACAGGAAACACAGAAAGTGGGAAGAACACTGTTACATTATGGAGACTACAACCAATTTCACAAAGCGTAATGTGTACGAACTGTTGAATGCAAAATCAATTTGCTCTGTAAACTTCCACTCAAATCAAAATAAAAAAGTTTTTAACAAAATTTTATTTTATTTTTACAAAATAAATAAGGAAAAAAAAAAGATCACAGCCTTGGAAACCCTAGGGGGCAGTTCTATTCTGTCTGCAAGGTCACTATGAGTCAAAATCAACTGTACAGCAATGGGTTTAGTATTTGCATTCCATTTTGGGGAAAAATTTGAAAAGAGATTTATGCAAGAAATTTGGATATTATTTAAACACCACTAAGCTCTCAAAAATAAGGTGCTTATTTTTAAGCATCTTTACTCAACACCAGTTCATGCCAACAGAGAAAACTGAGCCAAAAAGAAAGGTTTCACCTTCCTATCATAAAATAAGCAGAGTTTGTACCATCTCATTGTCACTTAACTGAGTTGGTTGTTTACTGATTTCTTTATATATACAGTACAGAAACAGAGACAATATTAGCCAGATATGTCTTAGTTTTAACTATTTCACGCCATGATCTTTAAAAAAAAAAACTAGTAACTTTGACTCAGGTGGCCTAGTATCTAAGGCACTTGACTGCTAACCAGAAGGCTGGCGGTTCAAACCCACCAGCCACTCCTCGGAAGGAAGGTTGGGCAATGTACTTCCATAGTGATACTACCTCGGAAACCCAAGGAGAGGTCGCTATGAGTTGCATCCAACTCCACGGCAGTGGTTGCGTTTAGGAGCTCTGGTGGCATAGTGCCTAAGGCATTTGATCGCTAACCAGAAGGCTGGCAGTTCAAACCCAACAGCAACTCCTAGGAAGAGTCCTGAATCCAAATGTGGTACAGGATGCTAAAGCCATGCTTTTTCAGAAAACATGGTCACCATATTTAAAGGGGCACACCTTCAAAGTACAGAAACCAAAGCAAGTAAACAGACTTACTTTTCACTGACATATATCAGTAGAACCAAAGCAGCACTGATCTTCTCCCTTTCAAAATACTTTTAAAATAATAAAAATAAAACTGCATTCCTTGCAAAGTACTCCAGAAGAATAAACTAGCGTAAGCTAAATTCTTCGATGCACAGCAGTACCACGTGTATACATTCTTCACTTCAAGACCTCTATACCTGAATTCTCAACCATCACTCGAAGACAGGAATCTAAAGTCCATGACAAAATTCACACTGGACACACTCCAGGGGAGCAAGCTGTCAGAGGAACAAACTGAAGTTTGGAATGATTTCATTGCACCTAAAATGAAAAGGCTTATTGCAAGCAAGGGAGTATTCCTGTGGTAAAATTAATTTGCTCAGCTTCGAAGTGACAAGGCTGGAGGAGCCGAGCAGGCAAAATGCTCCCCTCTGCGAGCTCTTACCTGCTCCTAGAAGCCTTTTCTTGGGGTTCTGTTCTCCCAAAATCCACGAGGGGCACATCCGTAGGCTCCGCTGGATTCGGAGCAGACGCAGTTGCAGGCTCTGGCAGCCTGGGAACCTCTGCTCCACGTTGGGCGGTGGAAGTGGTGGACCCCCTGGAGCCTATACCAGGCTTGACGTTCGGCTTCACGCTGAGGCGTGCCCGGCGAAACATGGCGGAGCCAGGGGGCCCGGGGAGGCGGCCCCACGGCCGCTCTGAGCCCCGAGCCCCGGCCGCTGCCCGAAAGAGGGGTTTAAAACAACGCCCTTTTCACGAAGCTACACGACCAACCCAGCAGATAGCTACCGCAGCTTCACGCCCCCGCTGCCTCCACCTGCCTCCCGCCGCCGCCTCTTCTTCATGACCCAGCTACAGTAATAGCTAAGTTTCCCACTCTACCCAGCTCCCTGCCCTCAGAGGGCGCCGGAACTGAATTCATCATTAGCAAGCGCCGCAAACCCTGCGAGATGACGTCACACGCACAGCTCCCAGAACTGTGGAAACTGCCAAGCTATGCACATTGTTATTGAGAGCAGCCCTGGGTTCCTATTCACAGCTAGCCTACGTACCTACGTACAACCGAAGGAAACACTGCCCGGTAGTGCGCCATCCTCACAATCTTTAATATGCTTAAAAACATCATTGCAGCCACTGTGTCAAGCCATCTCGTTGACGGTCTTCCCCTTTTTTCGCTGACCCTACACTTTACCAAGTAAAGTGATATGGTCCCTTGTGATATGACCAAGGTATGTGAGAGGAAGTTTGGCTATTCTCACTTCTAGGGAGCATTCCAGTTGGACTTCTTCCAAGGCAGATTTGTTCGTTCGTGGTATTTTCAATATTTTTCCCAAACAGCACAATTCAAGTACATCAATTCTTTTTTTTTTTTTTTTGGTGACTTGGCTGAAAGTTTACAGAGCAAATTCACTTTCTATACAGCAGTTCACACACACGTTTCTCATGACATAGACTACAATCTACCCCAATGGAACAGCTCCCCTTGTTTCCACGAATCTTTTAATTTCTTCTTGTTTGCTCTGGATGAGGAGAGACCCATCACTGCATCTAGATGGCTGCTTGCAAGTTTTTAAAATTCCAGTCACTGAGCTCTGGTAGCATAGTGGCTAAGGCCCTTGACTGCTCACCAGAAGGCTGGCGGTTCAAACCCACCAGCCACTCCTCGGAAGGAAGGTTGGGCAATCCTACTTCCGTAGTGATACTGCCTCGGAAACCCAAGGAGGGGTCGCTATGAGTCGGGGCCGACTCGATGGCAAACAACAACAACAACAACAACAACAACTTGCCAAAGTAGGAGGTGGAACAATGTTTTGTGTTGAATGTCATGCCAATTGAGCTTGATGTCTCCTGTGACTATGCCCCTGAGACCACAGGTTCAACTACTCGGTTCCTCTGGGTAGCAGGCTGTGACCAAGAAGTGACTACAACATTGTCCCTTGTTAGCTCTCCTATACCCCCTGGGAATTTCTCCTGAACATACAAAAACACTTGTAGAGCAATTGTCTGCGAAACCTATACATAGTCTTGGATACATTGCCTGCTGCGTAGACATACCTAATAATTCAGCCTGTCCACCCATCTATCCACCTGTATACCCATGTTTGCCTTCACTGAAAATGCAGTACTGTATGTGCAAAAGGATTCATCTTTGTTGTCTGTACCTCCCCTGTACCTCTCTGTCTTCCTCTTCCTCAATGCCACCATGTTGATAACTCAATTTCGGTACATTGTCTTTCTCTTCACCCAAATCAATACTTATCTCTACCTATCTAACAGTGTTCCCTACACTACACTCCCACCACAGGTAACCAACAAAGAAAATTTCCTTCCATATATAAACTGTTCCTTGACTTTTATAATAACGGACTAATACAATATTTGTCCTTCTGTAATTGACTTATTTCACTCAGCATAATGTCCTCCAAGTTTATCCACATTATGCAGTATTTTGCAAATTCTACGTCACTCTTTAGGGTCGCATAGTATTCCATTGTGTGTATGTACCATAGTTTGGTTATCCATTCCTCAGTTGATGGACACCTAGGTTGTTTCCAATTTTTTGCTATTGTAAATAGGGCTGTGATGAACATGGGAGTGCATGTGTCTGTTCTTTTCATGGCTCTCACTTCCTTAGGGTATGTACCTAGTAATGGAATGGCTGGGTCAAATGGTATGTCTGTTTCCAACTTTTGAAGGAATCGCCATACTTCTTTCCACAGTGGTTGTACCATTTTACAGTTCCACCAGCGGTGTATGAGAGGCCCAACCTCTCCACAACCTCGCCAGCATTTGTTATTTTCTGTCTTGTTGAACTTTGCTGCTAGTGCTGGGGCAAAATGGTATCTCATTATTGTTTTGATTTGCATCTCTCGAATGGCTAATGATCGTGAGCATTTCTTAGTATGTTTTTTGGCCGCCTGAATATCTCCTTGGTGAAGTATCTATTCATGTCTTCTGCCCATTTTTTAATTGCATTATTTCTTTTTTGTTATTGAGATGTTGGAATTTTCTATAAATTCTAGAAATAAGTCCATGTCAGATATGTCATTGCCGAATATTTTTTCCCAAAACTTTAGGTTCTCTTTTGACTCTTTTTGCAGAAGTTTTGGAAGCAAATAAAATTTTAATTTTTAGAAGGTCCCATTCATCTAGTTTCTCTTCTACTATTTGTGCATTTTGGGTTATACTTGATAGTCTATTTATGTCATATATTAGGGCCCCTAGGACCTCTGGTAACATAGTGCCTAAGGCCCCTGACTGCTAACCAGAAGGCTGGCAGTTCAAACCCACCAGCCACTCTTCAGATGGAAGATGGGGCAATCTATTTCAGTAGTGATACTGCCTCAGAAACCCAAGGAGTGGTCACTATGACTCGGGCACAGACTCGACAGCACACAACAAACAACATTAGGGCCCCTAAATTTGCTCCTAATTTTTCCTTCAGGAACTCTATA